TGCATGTGTTTTTTGAAATTAGTGTTTTTGCTTTTTTGGATATACTAAAAAAAAATAAAAACACCCTTTATCCTACTACCTAGAAATAAGCCCTTTGCAAGCTTCCTGGTGGTGTGCTGCTAAAACACTGGTTTGCATTTCTGTTTCTTTTTTAAAATGGCATTTGTTTAATAACTCATATTTTTCAATTTATAGTATATCTTAAATCTCTCTTTAATTTCCTTGCTCCCTTTTAAAGTCAGCTCTTCACTTAGCAAATATTTACACAGTGCCTACTATATGCCAGTGAGGACCGAGAATATAGGGGCCATCACGACCCGTCACTGTGGAACGTAGTATCCTCATTCCGTACGAGGGATGTGGCTGCTTCCATCAGTGAACCCCGGAGAGCTCGTGTGTTTGTGTTCCTGAAGGGGACGAGGTGGAGCAGTGGCACTGGCAGCCCCCGGTCAGGTTGTTCTTCATACGTGCCCAGTAGCCCTTAAACGTGAACTTGAGCTCATGCGTCAGATCTCCTAATGGTGCTGCTTGTGAGTCACCTTATGACTTTTGATTTTATTGGTAAACTCTTGTTGTTTGTTTTTTTTCTCATAGTTTGACAACTTAAACGCTGCCCATGAAACCTCTAAGTTGGAGATTGAAGCGAGCCACTCGGAGAAAATAGAATTGCTAAAGAAAGCCTATGAAACCTCCCTTTCAGGCAAGAATGGCTTTTTGGTATTGAAATAGAGTGAGATCTCATGGAACAGCGTGCTATGTTTTGAAGCGGAAATGATTCATAACATCTTGCTCTGGAGGAGTCCCTGTGGTGGTCGGCATGGAGGGTCTGGGGTTCTTTTTGCATTGGTTCATTGTGAGCAGGTGCCCTTTCCCCCAAGGATGCAAGTAATTGTTATAAATGCCAGCCTTCTAGGAAATAGGATGAACTTTTAAGGAACTTACAGGCCTTCTTTTTTGGTAGTAGTCACACCTGACCACTTCAGAGAGGTCCTGGGAAGTTGAGAGAGGCAGCTCACATCCTGACCCCAGGGAAGGAGCCCCCTGACACTCTCACACAGCGACACCACAGCGACATGAGGACAGTACTTCATAAAAAAAAAAGAATCTTTGTTATTATTCTATCACGAGGGGCAGGGTTGAAGTAGAAGGAAAAGAGTAAGAAGCC